ATAGTGATGGGGGAACAAAGGCAAGAGGGAAATAGCAGGTAAAATTAAATTTCCTTATAATCTGCAGCCCATTGACAAATACTTGAGATAGGCTGAGTATCACATTTCTCCAGGAACCCCCTACTGTCTTAAAGTTAATGTCTTACCAGAAAGAAAACAACCTTAGCTTGAATAAAGCAAGGCCTCAGGTATCTTTTGAGCCCTTTAGCATATGAAAGTCCTTCTGGAGGCCTCTCTCTTGTCTTTAGCTCCCCCAACTCCATAGTATATAACCAGTCACTCTTCACAACCCCAGTGCAGCTCTTCCTGCCCATGGGTCCTGTCCCTGTGGTTTAATAAAGTCACCTTTGTGCACCAAAGAGGTCTCAAGAATTCTTTCTTGGCCATCAGCTCCGGACTCCCACTGCTCTGAAACGCCATCAATTATTATTTCAACATGTAATCCATATAAAAATTACTAAGAGATATTATACATTTCTTTGTCCTATGTTTTTGAAATCTGGTATGAATTCTACATTTACATCACACCTCAGTTCAGACCAGCCACAATGCAAGTGCTCAATGACCACATGTGGCTAGAGGCCACCGAATTGGACTGCAAGGTCTAGGGAGTAGTTTCCAAGTTCTGTCTGTCACTCTGTCTGTCCCTGTTATTGCACTGATATTTGTAGTTTCCCAGGGGACGTTTTCACCAATCTGCAGCAAAATGAGAAAAAAAATATTTTTTAATATATAAGGTGGATGTAAGATTATTGCTTGTCTTGTGGGAGGGAATGCGTGGAGACTGTCCGTTCGACTTTGTCGGTGTTAGTTACTATGTCGGTTTAGCAGACGAGAGATAATCCATTAAGTGTTCTTGTTTTGCAAACAAAACATTTGCAATTCTCTCCAGGGCCCCACGCTTTGTGTGCACATTTTACTGGTGGTGTGTGATGCATTGAATCCCCGGAGCCAGCACCCGAGGTGGCTTTTTCTTCTGGCTTACACAACTGATGGCCACAAATGGACCTACTAGTGTGAGGGGAGACTACTGGCCACAGCTCATCGCTACGCCTTTCTGTCTGCCTCACAGAAGCATGAGGAAAAAATGCAAGTGAGTGAGCATGAAGCAAATACAGGGGGGTAACTTTGAATTTACTCTAAAAACCACGACCAAGAGAGTGATTGCTAGCAAACCCATTTCTTAGCAATCCTTAGTAACGGACGACTACTCCACTGAGCCTACAGACTTTGTTGCCTGTCTGGAAGATGGAAGTGCAATTTCCTGTGGCTGGAATACTGAAAGAGAAGTCATTGTTTTATGGGCAAAGTCTTTACTATTCTCCTGAGCTTTATATCAAGCAGTGTGTGAAGTGGTGCTGGGTGGGCCTGCCTCATGTATGACTAGGGAATGCAGGTAACCAGGGCTTTCCCCTCTGTACCCGTGGAGGAGTGTCTTCCTGTAGTAGCTCCGCAGTCTGGCCTCTGCACCCCCTCTTCTCTGACCCGTGTCCCCCTGTGGCTCACATGTCTCCTTGCATGTCCTGGCAGGTCACCAGCCCTATCCCAGGCTTTGAAGCTGATTGTCAAGGTGTCCTTAAAATACGCCGTCTGGCCACCCTGCTTGTAAATGCAAGCCTTTCGCTCTCTCATGGAGCAGTCACTAGGGTGCTCATTAGCTGTTACATCTCTTTTTCATATATAACCTTTATGCTCAGGTGGTAAAATGGAAAAAAACCTAACAAATTGAAATTTTGTAAATCAAATAGTTTTGATCGCTCTGGGAGCTCGCTATTTAGGAAATCCTATGGCAAATCCTATGGCAAATTTGTAAATTGAGCCGTCGGACATTTATCTGTTTAAAAAATTCAAGTTTTAATATATTATCTTGCCTGAGGGCGGTGATTGCACTTGTAATATGAAAAAGATGGAAAGAAAAGATGGAGTGTCTGGTGCTCCCCCTCCGTATTTAAGTATTTAAATAGTGGTGTGTAATCACAATTACCCGGCTCACAAGCAAGCAATTACACTAAGTATTAATGAAAGGACCCTAGTCAAAAACTGTGCCCAAGGGAAACTTTTCCCTGCAAGCCAGGGTTAATGGCCCAGCCATTGTTTTAATGGATTTTCAATGAGGTGTGAAGATGACAGGCCAATAAGGGTAAAGTTTTATGCTGCTGCTAAACAAGCACAATTAGTGACTCACCATTAGTATCCTGACCTTTCTGTTTATATTTCTTTGCAACCCTGAGTGGTTATTGATTCATTTCTGTTCAGCACAATTCAGGGAGCCTTTGTGAACTCAGTACAGGTGCCCGATCTTCGGCTGCTTTTGTGGAAAGGGAGTTTCTAAAGCACCCTCCCCAAACAAGTTTCAGTGATGAGCCTGAGGTTCATGGGCTGTTTCTGGACAGTCTCCGTCCAGGCTCTCTGGCCCTGGAGATGCCCAGCCCCCATAGTCTTGTCTTCTGGCGTCAGCCCCCTGGCCTGGGAGATGTGTAAGCCTCGATCACATTACCTGTGTTTGTTTCCCCACCTCCACCAGCACTGAATCCTGGGAAAGTCATTCAGTCTTTCTGTAGGATCAGTGCCCAGTGCCTCTGAGGGATCCAGCATGCTCTCTGTCTTCTCCCATCTTGAATACACACGCCTCAGCCTAGACCCTGGGCTTAGACCTGCCTTGACATCACCCTCAACACTTCTGGGGACTCAAATTTTGCTCCTGACCTCTGTTTCTCTGGCTGAATCCCCTCTCTCAGAAAGGCTGCTTATACTCTTTTTTTCTTGTTTTGAAGATTTGTCTCTACCTCGGGGTTGGGAACCTATGGCCTGTGAGCCGTGTCTGGCTCACTGCCTGTTTCTGTAAATAAAGTTTTATTGGAACACAACCATGCTCACTTATTTACATATTGTGTTTGGCTGCTTTCATGCTACAACAGCGGCTGAGTGGTTGTGACAGAGGAATTATGGCCCCCTAACGTAAAACATTCATTATTAGGCCCTTTACTGAAAAAGCTTACTGTTCCTTGTCTGTGTGGTTGAATGAAGTCCTCCAAAAAAGACATGTTGAAATCTCCAGTACCTCAGAATGTGGTCTTATTTGGAAATAGGGTCTTTACAGAGGCAACCAAATTAAAATGGGGTCATTAGGCTGAGCCCTACTTCCATATGATTTCCTTATAAAAAAGGAAATTTGGACACAGAGTATATTTAAAACCTTTTTTTGAATGTTTATTTACTTTTGAGAGAGACAGAGCATGAGTGGGGGAGGGGCAGAGAGAGAGGGAGACACAGAATCTGAAGCAGGCTCCAGGCTCTGAGCCATCAGCACAGAGCCTGACGCAGGGCTCACACTCACGGAACTGTGAGATTGTGACCTGAGCCCAAGTCAGACGTTCAACCGACTGAGCCATCCAGGTGCCTCTAGACACAGAGTATATTAATTATATTTTCTTATTTTCTGGATTCTTGATGCTCTGACATCTGGAGCTTCAGTGGCTGGGGTGAGCCTGCCCTCCCAGGATTAGCCAGCTCCCAGAGATAGCATAGGATTTGCACAGAGACCTGCCTTTCATATGCAGACTAACCATTCCAGAGCCCACACTCCAAACCACCTCTTCCATCTGGCTCTCACTTCCCAGGAGGCGATATTCCTGGTCACCCTGGGGCCAAGTCCTAGACATCTAGAGACCCTCGTCCCAGCCCGGAGCTTGCTGAAATTGTTCATGTATCCAATCCTAAGCCTACTGAGCTTGCTTACCTTTGCCTTCCTTCTTCCTTCCCATGAAAACCATAATGAGTACTCTTTTTTTAAAGCTTCTTTATTTATTTTAAGAGAGAGAGATAGAGAGAGTGGGGGAGGAGCAGAGGGAGGGAGAGACAGAATCTCACGCAGGCTCTTCATGGTCAGTGCAGAGCCCTACGTGGGCTTGAACTCATGAAATGTGAGATCAAACCCTGAGCCAGAATCAAGAGTTGGGCATTTACCCAACTGAGCCACCCAGATGCCCCCCCAATGAGGATTCTTGGCCACAATTTCTCCTCCCTCCTCCTGCCTCCTGACCAAGCCCATGCTGCCCTGTGAGGCCTCGGGCCACCTCCCTCTGGGAACTAGGAGTAACAAACCATGTGTTCAAAGGCAATCATCCCTTGATCTGTTGGTCTCACTGTACTCGAATAAAACCAAAATCCCAGGTGCATTTTATCCTCGTTTTTTAAAAGTAGTCTCCATGCTAGGTATGGGCTCAAACTCACAACCCTGAGATCAAGAGCTGAGCTGAGATCAAGCGTCGGATGCTTATCTGAGTCACCCAGATGCCTCCCCCGGTGCATTTTAGGAACAGAGACAGACACACATGCAGGGAAAATAATGTGAAGACACAGGGAAGCACCATGTGAACATGGAAGATTGGGGTGATGTATTTACAAGCCAAAGGATACCTGAAGCCACCAGGATGAGAAAAGCATGGGACAGTTCCTTCCCTAGCACCTTCAGAGGGAGCGTGACTGCCAACACCTTGATTTTAGTCTTCCAGACTCTAGAACAAGAGACAATAACTCTCCGTTGTTCTAAGTCGCTCAGTTTGTGGTACTTTGTTATGCTAGCCTAGGAAACTAATATACCACCTAACAAATGATTTTGTTCTGTTTTCTTCGTTCCGTCTCGTTCTTTTACATCCGTATGGTATCCTGTCCTCATTTCAAGATGACCCGCATGCCCATTATTGCATCTGGGTATCGTGAGGTGGTCGGGTCAGCGGGCAGCTCGTTAACCCAGGACTGGGGCTCAGTGACTTCAGGGGACCGTACAAGGTCACCCCACAGGCAGCAAGTGCAGAGAGGACTGGTGGTTAGGGCTCAATATGTGCTTTCCTCACATTATTTTAGGCCCCACCCCCCACAATTAACCCGAGCACCAGGTGGCGAGCAATTATGCTAATAATCAGATAGCTATGAACTTAAAAAGGATATTTTCTTCTCCCCTCACCTTCCCGTCTCTGCTTGGCTTCTAAAGGCAGAACTACATGAGGAGGTCAGACACCTGCACGCTGTACTGACCTGACGGGAATCAGCACGCACCCACTGCGGAAGCTCTTTCTTCAAAGGACGATGCTAATCCTACCAGCATGCAGTGAAACAAGGTAAGAGAGCCCCAAAGCCCCCTTCTGTCCCCCTGGGGTGTGGTGGGGGTCCGAGGAGTGGAGAATGAGGAGAGGTCTGGGGCTATTTCAGGATGTAACACTGTTGTGGGAGCTAGAGCTCTTTCTGGTCAAGGCTTGTCTGGATGCTGTGGATCCTCCCCCACCCCCCAACCTCTGAGGCCAAGCACCCAGCCATCTCCTGAGATTCCTTTTTTTTTTTTTAATTTCATTAAAGTCTTTTTTTTCTAGTGAGATATCACAATTTCATTATTCGGTGCCACATGTTGTGCTTTGACTCATATTGTTTCCTCTGAGTTAATCTGCAAAGGGTAGCAGTTTGCTGGGGAAACAGTGCAAAATATGGAAGCTTCACGAATTTGCACGTCATCCTTGTACAGGGGCCAGGCTAATCTTCTCTGTATTGTTCCAATTTTGGGATATGTGCTGCCGAAGTGAGCTCTAACTTCATTTTAATTTTATTTTTTTTAGCATGTTAAGTGTACTCTTTAATCCCTATGCCCAATTTTCCCACCCCCCCAACCCCCCCTTCTCCCCTCTGGTAACCATCAGTGTGTTCTCTGTTGCTAAGAGTCTGCTTCTTGGTTTGCTTCTCTTTTTTCCCCTTTGCTTGTTTATTTTGTTTCTTAAATTCCATATATGCGTGAAATCATATGGTATTTGTCTTTCTCTGACCGACTTACTTCACTCAGCATTATACCCTCTAGCTCCACCCTTGTTGCAAAGGAAAGATTTCATTTTTTATAGCCAAATAATATTCTATTGAATATATTCCACATCTTTATCCATTCTCAGTCGATGGACACTTGGGCTGCTTCCATAGTTTGGCTATTGTAGATAATGCGGCTATAAACATAGGGGTGCATGTATCCTTTGAGTTAGTGTGTTTGTGTTTTTTGGGTAAATACTCAGGAGTGTGATTCCTGGATCATAGGGTAGCTCTATTTTTTTTTTTTTTTTTTAATTTCTGAGAGAGAGAGACAGCGTGAACAGGGGAGGGTCAGAGAGAGAGGGAGATACAAAATCTGAAACAGGTTCCAGCCTCTGAGCTGGTCGTCTGGCTTGGACGCTTAACCAACTGAGCCGCCCAGGCACCCCTTCTGCCCATTTTCAAACTGAATTATTTGTGGGGGTTTTTGGTGTTGAGTTATATCGGTTCTTTGTATGCTTTGGATACTAACCTTTTATTGGATATGTCATTTGCCAATATCCTCTCCCATTCAGTAGATTTGCCTTTTAGTTTTGTTGATTGTTTCCTTTGCTGCACAGAAGGTTTTTATCTTGATGAAATCCCAGTACTTTATTTTTGCTTTTATTTCTCTTGACTCAGGAGACATATCTAGAAAACTGTTGCCATGGCTGGTATCAGAGAAATTACTGCCTATGCTCTCTTCCAGGATTTTTATGGTTTTGGTCTCACATTTAGGTCTTTGATCCATTTTGAGTTTCTTTTGGTGTATGGTGTAAGAAAGTGGTCCAATTTCATTATTTTGCATGTTGCCGTCCAGTTTTCCAAACACCATTTGTTGAAGAGACTGTCTTTTTCCCATTGTCTATTCATTCCTCATTTGCCAAAGATTAGTTGGCCATATAATTGTGGGTTTATTTCTGGGTTTTCTGTTCTGTTCTATTCTATTGATCTATGTGTCTTTTTTTATGCCAGTACCATACTGTTTTAATTACTACTGCTTTGTAATATAACTTGAAATCTGGAATTGTGATACCTTTAGTTTTGTTCTCAAGATTGCTTTGGCTATTTGAGGTCTTTTCTGGTTCTATACAAATGTTAGGATCATTTGTTCTCCTTCTGTGAAAAATAGTATTGGTATTTTGATAGGGATTTCACTAAATCTGTAGATTGCTTTGGGCAGTACAGACATCTTAACAATATTTGTTCTTCCAATCTATGAGCATGAAATGTCTTTCCATTCCTCCGTGTTGTCTTGAATTTTTATCAGTGTTTTACAGTTTTCAAACACCTATTTGGTTAAGTTTATTCTTAGATATTTTGTTGTTTTGGTGCAATTGTAAATGGAACTGTTTTCTTAATTTCACTTTCTGCTGCGTCATTATATGCATATAGACATGCAACAGGTTTCTGTACACTAATTTGTATCCCAAGACTTCGCTGAATTCATTCATCAGTTCTAGTTGTTTTTTGTGGAGTCATTAGGGTTTCCTATATATAATATTATGTCATCTGCAACTAATGAGAGTTTGAGTTCTTCCTTACCAGTTTGGATGCATTTTTTTTTTAAGTTGTTTGATTGCTGTGGCTAGGACTTCCACTACTACACTGAATAAAAGTGGTGAGAGTGGACCTCCATGTCTTATTTCTGACCTTAGGTGAAAAGCTCTCAGTTTTTCACCATTGAGTATGATGTTGGCTGTGGGTTTTTTCATATAAGGCCTTTATTACGTTGAGGTATATTCCCTCCAGACCTACTCTGCAGAGAGTTTTCATCATGAATGGATGCTGTACTCTTTGAGTGCTTTTTCTGCATTTATTGAAATGATCATATGGTTTTTATCATTTCTCTTCTTGATGTCACATTATCATATTGACTGTTTTGTGAATACTAAACCACCTTGCAACCCGGGAATAATCCCACTTGATTGCGGTGTATGATTTTTTAAAAATATATTGTTGGATTCAGTTTGCTAATATTTGATGAGGGTTTTTGCCTCCGTATTCATGAGAGATATTGGCCTGTAGTTCTCTTTTTTTGTGAGGTGTCTTTATCTGTTTTTGGTATCAGGCTGATACTTGCCTTATAGAATGAATTTGGAAGTTTCCCTTCCTCTTGTATTTTATGAATAGTTTGAGAAGAATGGGTATTAACTCTTCTTTACATATTTGATAGAATTTGCCTGTGAAATCATCAGGTCCTGACTTGTTTGTTGGGAGTTTTCTGGTTTCTGATTCAATTTCATTGTTGGTGATTGGTCTATTCAAATTTTCTATTTCTTCCTGCTTTAGTTTTGGTAGGTTATTTGTCTCTAGGAATTTATACATTTCCTCTAAGTTGCTCAAGTTGTTGGCACACAGGTTACAATTCTGTTACAATTATTTTATTTCTGTGCTGTCGATTGTTATCTCTTCTCTTGTATTAGTAATTTTGTTTATTTGGGTCCTCTTTTTTTTTTTTTTTTGAGTCATACTAGAGGTTCATCAATTTTGTTGATGCTTTCAAAAAACAACTCCTAATTTCACTGCTCTGGTCTATTGCTTTGTTGTTGTTGTTGTTGTTTTTTGTTTTTGTTTTTGTTTTTGTTTTTTTTAGTTTCTATATCATTTATTTCTGGTTTAGTCTTTTATTATTTATTTCTTTCTCCTGGTTTTGGATTTTGTTATTGTTCTTTTTCTAGCTCCTTTAGGTGTAAGGTTAGGTGGTTTGATATTTGTCCTGCTTCTTGAGGTAGGCCTGTATTGCTTTCATTTCCCTTCACCTTTTTGTTCTCCTGTCATCGCCTCCTCACCTTCCAAGCTTTGGCCTAGGATGTAAGCAGCCTTCCCAACAGACCCAGAAGGAGCTGGCAGCCCCCCTGCCCCCTACTCTGCCCCAGCCCCCGGTATACAGAATTCTGTTAGCACATATCACCCTGTACTGTAATGACCTATTTACAGGTTTACCTCCCTTAGTAGACAGTGAGCCCAAGGGGAGAGCTCTTGTTTTTACATTTACATTAGTATCCTGTTTTACATTTATATGTCTCTTCCCTTGCACAGCAGAACTTGGTTATTACCAAGTACTCCAATCCTTGATGAATAAATGATTCAACCAATTAACCAAACCAGAATTCCTCTGAAGTTCACTAGTCTTTGCTAATGGCAGCCCCCTGTCTAAACCAATTATGACTCTCAGAAAGCTACAAAATTGTCACAGGTGTTAAAAGTTAAAAGAGAGTCTTGCATCCATGATCTCTGTTTCTTCCTTGCTCACTTGTTACAAAGATTCTTCCACATCAAGAATATTTTTAAAGTTATGCCAAGATTCTGGGGACCCCATTCCATTTGGGATATTATCTTCACTTTATAGATGAGAACACGGGTCAGGTCTCATGGCCAGCCAGGGGTCATGATGGATTTGGGGGCTGGCCCTTCTGGCTCTATAGCTCTGGTCATCACACAGGGCTGGCCTGGGCTGGGGTCCATGCCCTCAGCCTCTTTTTCTGGCAAACACTGTTCAGAATATGAGTCAGCATATGATTCCTGTGTGTGTGTGCACATGTGTATATGTGCGCGAGGGAGAGAAATCGCAAAGGCTCAGCGAACTCTCTCTCCTTCATGCACTGAGTATGGAAGGTGCTCAGTGTCGCTGGGTGTCACCAGCTGAGGCAGAGAAGGATAGAAAATAAGAGAAGAAAACCAGAGTGTGTCCAGCATGAGAGAAGAAGCAGGGGGTGAACGAACAGAAGGAAAAAGTACAAAGAGGCCTAGGGATCCCTGCCTAGACCCCTGCCTTCCCCTTTGCCTCACCCCAACCCCCTGGCCCCCCACCTGAAACAAGCTGAAGGCTGTGCCGTTGTCCTCACTGCTGGGATAGTGGTTCCAAGCCTGCCCAGCCTGGTTCGGCCTTAGCAGGAAGAAGCAAGTGTAAGCCGGGGGCTGCGGCTGCTGCACTCACCCTGTAAGAAGCCCAGGGTGAGGGGGTACCATCTGGTCAGGAGTCCCCGAAGCTGGGGTTGTGGAGAGGCTCAGGAGGGTGGGCGGGCGGCCTGTGGCAGGCTGAATAGCGGCCCCCAAATACATCCACGTCCCGACCCCTGGAACCTGTGAATGTGTCACCGCACGTGGCAAAGGAGACTTTGCAGGTGTCATTTAGTTAAGAATCTTGAGATGGGAAGACTAGCCTGGCGAATCCAGGTGGGCCCCTAAGTAGCTGCAAGGTCCTCGGACCTCGTGGTGGGGCAGAAGCTGTTTCTTTCATCTGATGAAAATATACTGAACACCTAGTACATGCCAGAGAGGCTCTGGGGCCTGGGATACAGCAGTGAAAAGACAACACAAGCTTCCTGCCCTCGCGGTGTTCATAGTTTAGTGGAGGAAGACCGGCAGACAATAGGCAAGGGCCGGTGTATCAGAGGTTGGTAAGTGCTGGGGAGAAGATTGGCAAGGTGAGAGCCAAGGTGGTGCCGGGGAAGAGTTGGGCTAAGGTGGTCGGGGAAGGCCTGATGAGATGCAGTGTGAGCCACAGAGATCTCTGAAGGAAATAGAACATTCCAGACAGGAGGAATAGCAGGAGAGAGGCTTCAGGGCAGGACATTTGCTGGACACTTTCCAGGACAGCAAGGAGCCCATAAGGCTGGCATGGGGTGAGTGGTGGGGCAGGGATAGGAGGTAAGTGTGTGGACGCAGAGGGTGGTTGGTGTGGGGCCTCATGACTTTAGGCCACTTGCCAAGGGAGCCCTGGGAGGGTTTTGAGAGGAGGAATGAGCTAGGCCGAGTGTTAAAAGAATCTCTCTAGGAGGCCCGAGATACTCCTTTTACCTGTTTTGCAGCAGCACCTGCTGAACTGTTAGTCCTCACCTAAGCAAGGAGAAAGACGAAGAAACCAGTCTTTGTGGCTCCATTCTTGGCCCTCTTACCCCACTGGTCATTAGTGGAACTACCTGTCTATGCCTGGCAAATGCACTGTCCTCTCCCCTCTTCTTTTGCATGGCGGTCCCCAGCCCCCCTCCTACCTTATCAGTCACTCACACTTTAGTGAGATCAAGGATGTGTATCCCATTACTGTCTCTAAGGTTATGAGTTGAATTGTGGCACCCAAAAGTTATGTTGAAGGCCTACTCTCCAGTACCTCAGAATGTGACCTTATTTGGAAATAAAGTCATTGCAGATGTAATTTAGTTCAGATAAGCTCATACTGGGGTAGGGAGGACTCTTGATGCACTGTGACTGAAGTCCTTGTGGAGATACCAGGGAAGAAGGCCATGTGATCGCAGAGGCAGACGCTGGAGCGACGAGGCTGTGGGCTGGGGGACGCCGAGGGTTCCTGGAAACCCCTCACAGCTAGGAAGTGGCAAGGGGTCTCAGAGGGAGCGTGACCCTGCCAGCACCCTGATTTCAGACATCTGGCCTCCGAAACTGTAAGAGAACAAGTTTCTGTTGCTTTAAGCCACCCAGGTTGTGGCACTTAGTTCTGGCGCCCGAGGAAGCCAATGCCTGGGATATTACCTTTTTTTAGAGACTTTCTTCTAATTGTGAAATTTAAGGTTTTATCCTAGTTGAAGAAACCTCTGGCATGCTATTATCCTCCTGACCAGACTTGATCTGAAGATAATGATGCCCTGTTTGGGAGGCATCCTGGGGCTGCATGAGAATTCAGAAGGACCCATTTCTCTCCATGGCCTGGATATGCTTCTCTCTGGGGAGCTGGGCAGCGGGGGAAGAGCCCGGTTGGATCCCCGTCCCACTGCTGGGTGGGGTTTGGCTGGGGACACCGAGTGTGGGTTTGGGAAGAGGAAGATGCAGGGGTCTCAGTCCTGGGCAGAGGGGGCAGATGAGGGGGACCTAAAGCTTGAGGACACCAGATGCCCAAACCTTGCCTTTTGTTTGTCTGAAGATAAAACTGTCCACTGCTATTAATTATTGAGCCTCTCCCTGTGCAGGTCTCTTTGCGGTCAGGGACACGGAGTGATAGAAACAGAGTCTCCTTCAAACAAGCACTTGTATGCAAATATTCACTGCAGCATCACTTATAAAAGCGAAAGGTACAAACGACCTACATGTGCATCAGCTGACCAATGGCTAAACAAAACGGACGCATCCATACATGGAACGGTATCCAGCCATAAAAGGAACGGAATACTGCTCTGAGCTACAACATGCATGGACCTCAAAAACCTTCTGATAAGTGAAAGAAGTCAGACACCAAAAGCCACATGTTGTATGATTCCATTTGTATGAACTGTCCAGAATAGGCAGGTCCATGGAGACAGAAAGCACATTAGGGATTGCTCGGGGCTGTGTGTGTGGGAGGACCGGGCAGTGACTGGTTAATGGGTCCAGAGTTTCCTTTTGAGGTGATGAGAATGTTCCAGAACTCGGTAGTGGTGATGGTTGCACAATTTGGTAAAAGTACGAAATGTCACTGAATTGTACACTTTAAATGGTAAGTTTTATGTTATTTTACCACATGTATACACGAAACCCAGAGTTCCCGCCCCTGCATTCAAGTGAGAGGAGACAGATGATTAACAAAGAAATATATATTTAAGGTAAGTGCTGGGAAGACAAGACAGATGGGCTAAGGTGCAGGGAATGACAGGGAGGTGCTATTTCAGTGAGTGGTTGCCTTTCTGAGGGGGATGCCAGTGGGAGAGCCGAGGAAATGGCCAAGAGGAGACCCTTCGGGCCACAGAAGCAGAAAGGGCAAAGGCCCTGAGGCAGGAATAGGCCAAGGGTGTGGGGAACCAAGCTGCAGAAAGAGGGGCGCACAGGCGATGAGAACAGAGGAGAAGAGGCTGGAGGCCCGTCGGGGAGGGCCTGTTGGCCAGAGCGCCCTGGGACCCTGAGGGCCCCAGGCAGGACACTGAAGGGAGCAAGTGTAGACGCCAGGAGGTTGTTGCAACGAGGATTCCTGTCTGCTGAACGAACGGGCCCAGGAGACTGTAAGGCCTGCTTTGGATGTCAAGCAATCTAACAAGAGTTCTACCAGGGGCGCCTCCTCTCGAGGTCCCCATGCAGCACAGTCTTGACGAAGGAGATGCCTAACCAGGTCAGGAGTTTTTGCTTTCTGAGCGCATTGCCTAGGTATGTTTACTTTTCATTCAGGTTCATACTGAGCGACCCACTGTACTTCACATGGTGGGTCTCCTCCCATCCCCCTGCCTGGGGCACCCTGACCCCCTCCCCCTGCTTTCTCCTTCCCTATTCACTCATCACTGCCCTGCACAGGTGTGTATAGCTGTCATGGTTAATTTCTGTGTCAGCTTGGCCATGTAGTACCTGGTTATTCAATCAAACACCAACCTAGTGCTGCTGTGAAGGTATTTTGTAGATGTGGGAACATGTACAATCAGTTAACTTTAAGGAAAACGATTTCTTGTTCTAGCTTGGGTGGGCCTCGTCTAATCAGTTGAAAGGTCTTAACTACAGAAGTGAAATTTCCCAACGGAAGAAGAAAATCTGCCTCAAGACTGCAGCCTCAGCACCAGCCTGAGTTTCCAGGCTACCAGCCTACCCTACAGATTTCAGACTTGCCAGTTTCCCCAATCCCATGAAGCAATTCCTTGAAATAAATCTCTGTATACATATACGTATACATGCACACATGCATGTTTCATACTGGTTCCGTTTGGAGAACCCTAACAGGTGTGGTTTCTATTTGCCATTCCCCTGCCTCCAGGTGCACTTAAGTGCAAGGACTTACCCTTTTTCTTCCTAGCTGTGCCCCCCAGAACAGTGCCTGGCTTTGGGTCAGTTGGTAGTGTCTAATGGGTAGCTCTTTATAATTCTTATTTATTTGTATGGTTATTGGATCTGTTTGAAAATTGAGAGAAAGAAAAAAAAAGGCACATGATTCTTATCTGAGCTGGGGATTTCCTTGTGGGGCCCAGGGATGTGGGTCCTGCTGTTGAGTGGGTGTCTTTTTGCAGTAGAGCAAAAGGTGTTCCTGGGAAGAAAGGTTGCAAATTTAAACTCAAGTTCAGATTCTCCTGGCAGCAGTGCACGCCCTCGGGCTGCTGGCCTGGGAGGGTGAGGCGGGGGGGTGGGGGTGGGGGGGACCCAAGCACCAAACACGTGCAGCTGTGGCAGGTCCCGTTGCTAGGAGAACCGAACAGTGACTCCTGTTTGTATCCAAGAGCGACCTAGGTGGGCGTTGCCTTTTGTTTCCCAAGTAATTGTTTTAAAGCAAGGTGTGCGAGGAGCCAGCGCGTGGGGGAATGAGGAACAAGGCTTGAGCCCAGATGTGTGTTTGTTTAGGAACTAGTGGTTAGTGCAAAGCCTCTTGTTTCAGAATATGTCCCAAAGGGGTTTGCAATTAGGGACAGAATCTGTAGGAGCTGAGGAAACAACCAATTCCCCATACTGTTTGGTTCTCGGCCTCCACGGGCCATCTGCATCAGAGCAGGAAGTGTGGGATTGCGGGTGGGGTGGAGGAATGAAAAGCATCAAGCTGGCCTCGGCTGGGGCCCGGAGGGATTTGGGTTTCCAGATTTTGTGTTCGCTTAATTACATTCACAGACCATCCTGACCTCAATGCCATGAGGTTGGGGCATGGGAGAACAGGAGGGGGGGGGGGCATGTTCCATTCACGATCGCCCTTTATCTGTGTTCCCTCCAACTGGTAACCACCCTGTGCTACCACTTGCACTTTGCAAAAGAGGAAGCTGTTGCAGAAGGCCTGAGAAGTCTGAGGAAGAGACGGAGCTGAGAGCTGGGTCCAGCTCTGTCCCATTCCCAAACCACCTTCTTTCTCCCACATTGGCTGCCCAGGTGAGATGGGTCATCATCTGAGATAGGCTTGGAGGGGAACACCTGCGGCATCGCTCTGGGTCTGTTTTCTGAGCGCGTGCCCTTCAGAAAATAAATTCAAGTTCCCTTCTAGAGAAGTCTCAGCTTCAGAAGGAGTGGGTCGCAGAAAAAAAAAAATGCCGTGTTCATCGAATTGATTTTATTTTCCTCTTGGACATTTGGAAAGACTATTCCTGAGCTTCCACTGCAGTAAGGTGGTGGCATGGGACTGAGCTTCTGGCCAACCCCAGAGGCTAACCGGACACACACCCCTGCCCAGCATGATTCTAAAACCTGCATATCCTCAACCTCTGTGTGCTTTCTTCCCACCTTCTGGGTAGATGCGGAGGACCCAGGCGGGGCCCCAAGGCCCAGGAAGATGGTGGAGTCATAGGGAAGGTGCCTGGTTTTCTGAATGATTTCATGAAGCAGGATATCCCTCCCCTTGACATACCGGACTATGAATGAAAAACAAGCCTGTGTCGTATCAAACCCTTGGCTTGGGAGGCTATACGTTGCAGCAGTCAGGCTACAGTGATCCGGAGAGAGTGTGTAGGAGGGTGTGTGACGACACCATTTTTGTTGAAGGCACCTGGGTGGCTCCGTAGGAAGAGCAAGTGAGTCTTTTTTTTTAATGTTTTATTTATTTCTGAGAGAGAGAGAGAGACAGCCAGCATGAGCAGGGGAGGGTCACAGAGAGAGAGAGGAAGACACAGAATCTGAAACAGGCTCCAGGCTCTGAGCTGGCTGTCAGCACAGAGTCCGATGCGGGGCTTGAACCCACGAACCGTGAGATCATGACCTGAATAGAAGCCAGTCGCTTAACCAACTGAGCCACCCAGGTGCCCCAAGTGAGTCTTGATCTCAGGGTTGTGAGTTTGAGCCCCATGTTGGGTATAGAGATTACTTAAAAAATAAAATCTTAAAAAAAAAGGATCATTTTTGTTGGAGGAGGGGAGAGAGTGATATTTAGCAGAAGTGTTTATATAAGTAGGTGGGGAGGAGCCTCCTGCTGGCAGAGGGCTCTGGTTTAATAGCCACCCTAGAATGGGAAGGGGAGCCAGCGTGTGTGACCGGGCACATTGTGTGTGTGTGTGTTGAAGTAAGCACCCTCTGGTGAGGCCCTGTCTGAGCTAAAGAAAATAATTATAATAATAATAATGGCACCTAAAGATAATAATTATAATAAAAAATTCTTTTAATCACATACTCACTTTTCCAAGTGCTTTGCATGAATTATCTTGTTTAATCTTCCCTATGAAGTAGGAACTATTAATGTCATCCCCATTTTATAGGTGAGGAAACTGAGGCCAACATCGATGCAGAACTTTCCCCACTGTCATCAGAACGTAAGTGGCAGAGCCAGGACCGGAGGACTGGATGGAAGGTGTGCTGGTGATCGAGCGGCGTCTGTCTCTCTAGAATGTGCGCTAACCCTGCTTGAGGATGAGGAATTCTGCTTTCCCCCCTCACTGTCTACAACAAAGGCGGAAGGAATTTGGGAGGCGTAGGTGTCCCAGCTTGGTAAGGAAGTCAGGCCATTTATCTTGTCTGAGATGATGCCAAACATTCCTGGAAAGGTCCCAGAGAGCACAGGGGGCTCTGGGGTGAGGGGAGAAGGACAGCTGGGGAGGGGAGAGGCCAGCCTGTGTTCATTGTAGGTTTTAAGAGATGGTGTCATGTAGACGGGTGCTCAGGAGGGAGGCCGAGGGAGTGGGAGGGCTGGACACGGACTTCTCTGAGCCTGATGCTTCCCGGGCTTCTATCTTACACGAGAGGCGTCCAGAGTTTTTTGACTCTGCGTCACAAGTACTTGTAAAAGGCCTTCCATGTGCCCGGAGATGTAGGAGATGCTGGGGGTGCGATAGCGAGCAACACGACATGGCCCTTGCCTTCACGGGGCCTTCAGCCTGGAGTCTGCATGCTGCATGTGGTGCTGGAGGATGAGCCGGAGGCCGTGGGCACCGCAGTGAGGTGGGGAGGGGGCTCAGGGTAGGGGAGTCTGGAACCCTCCAAGGCCAAGCCATGCCATCTGCCTGGGGAGGCTTGGTTTCCCGGCAGGTGTTTTCAGGCGGCTAGAGACTGTGGGTAGCGGAGTCTGGCTGGAAGCACTAAGTGAGGTGCAGGGAAGGGGGCCTCAGGGAGCCACACGGGGAGCTCTTGACTGGGAATCTGGATCATTCTTTTTAAGGACCAGCAGAAACGATGCCCAGAACAGGCCCTTTCCCTATTTGATGTCCCTTTGGGATCTCCATTTGATTTGCTCAGTGCCACAGGCATGCAGGTGGACTGAAGTCGCACATCAAGTTAGGAAAGACATTATCGTTGGTTGGTCTGGAGCCGGAGATTGGGTCTGCTATCGGGGGCACTGCACGGAGGCTGCCTCCCTCAGCCACCGACTCCAGCGCTTCCTGGAGCAGGAACATTCCACGGTGTAAGTGTTTTCTCTTGGCTGTCTGGCTCTCTGCTGCAGGCGACTCCACGTCCCACTTCCTTTTTTTCCCCCATGGTCGACAATATTTCTTTATTTAAACAAATTTTTTAAGTTAATTTTTAAAAATTTCCATCCAAATTAGCATATAGTGCAACAATGATTTCAGGAGTGGATTCCTTAATGCCCTTACCCACTTAGCCCATCCCCCTCCCACAACCCACCAGGAACCCTCTGTTTGTTCTCTGTATTTAAGAGCCTCTTATGTTTGTCCTGCTCCCTGTTTTTATGTTACTTTTGCTTCCCTTCCCTTATGTTCATCTATTTTGTATCTTAAAGTCCTCATATGAGTGAAGTCATGATATTTGTCTTTCTCTGACTAATTTCACTTAATATAATCCCTTCTAGTTCTATCCATGTAGTTGCAAATGGCAAGATTTGATTTGCCGAGTAATACTCCATTATATATACACCACATCTTTATCCATTCATCTGTCGATGGACATTTGGGCTCTTTCCATACTTTGGCTATTGTCGATGGTGCTGCTATAAACATTGGGGTGCATGTGTCCCTTTGAAACTGCACACCTGTATCCCTTGGATAAATACCTAGTAGTGCAATTGCTGGGTTCCACGTCCCGCTTCCTTAAACAGGATGTGTTCAGAGAGGGAGCAGCCCCGCTGGGCTTGAGGATGTGTCCCCTGTTAATTTCAGCCAGCTCAGGAATGCAGAATCTTCCTCATTTTCATGTTCCCTGTAAGCGCCGGACTCCCACACACTCTACATGTTAAGTTTAGCAGAACCCGTGTTAACTCACAGGTAAGTGGGCCAACTTCCAAAAATATCCCTCTGCCGTCCTCTCTCCCGAGCGCCAGCCCTCTGTTCTGGCTGCTTTCGGATGTCCCGCCACACTTCAAAATCAGCGTGTCCTTCCTTCACTCAGCCATCATTTAGAAAGAATCTTCTCTGTGCCAGGACCCACCAGGGGACGGGAGATAGAGTCAAAGAAGAGGTGCTCTCTATCGTGCGGACAGTCTGTGTAACTGGTCACCTGCTTCATCCGCTAGACCACACATGCCACGTGAGCAGGGACCGGACTTACTCCCCAATGTGTTCTCGGGCATTAGAACATGGTAGGTGCCCAATAAACATTGTTGCCTCCATGTTAAATCGACACCTGTCCTCAAAAGGCTTCAGGGTGACGGGGCGGGGGGCGGGGCACAGTGAACCAGCAATTGTAGTTCACCCAGCACCAGTGTCAGGAAGGACATAAGCAAGAGGAAGGCATTTAACTAAGCCCCCGAGGAGGGGCTCAGGGTTGCTTCCCGGAGGAGGCAGTGCTAGAGCTGAGAATGGAAGTAGAAGCGAGAGACACTGTGGATATTGATGAAGGCGGTGAGGGCACAGTCTGAAGGCAGGTCCTGGGGCAGCCGTAGGAGGTGAGGTAGACAGGCCCAGGGGCAGGTGGCCAGGCTTATGTTGGCAAACCAGCCCCACCTTCCCTGCCCTCCTGCTTTCAGTAGAGGGCATCTCCGTTCTCCTAGAGACCCTTCTGGCAACCCTCCACAGTCTGTCTTCTCTCTTCCTTGGGGTTCTAGTCCTCTGGGTTCTGTGTTCGCCCTCCCCCTCAGGGCCCCTGCTCTGGTTCCACGGCCCCGCCTTTACCTTCTGCTTGCCTGGGTCACCGTACAGGCCACCTGACTGGGCCTCCTGCCCCTGGCTTATATGGCTCCAATCTATTCCACACACTTCTGCCAGATTCTTCTTTCTAGAGCTCAGTCCTGACCACAGCCCTCCTTGCTCAGTAGCTTTCGGTGGCTCCCAGGTGCCTTACTGGATTAGGTGAAAATGTCTTGACTCAGCATTTCAGGACTCTAGTCTGTGGCATCTACCAAACTTTCCAGAATCTTCTTCCATTGTTCGTATTCATGTAGCCAGTACCAAACTGGACTCTTTACTCTTCTCCAATGACAGCTGAGTTCCTTCTGCCTGGAATGCCTGTTCCCATGTCCCCAAATGTCTGTGGGGTCCTATATATCTTTCAAGGCCAGTCTTAAACTCTGCTCTCTCTCTGAGGGCTTTCCCAACTTCCTGATAGTCTAGCTCTTACCTTGAATTGTAGCACAGTCTACCCTACCTGCTGAACTGCTTCTTCCAGCACATGGGTTATTATCATTATTATTAAAGGTGTTGGCAGTAAGAAGGGGCTAATACCTGTGATGGCCAGAGGACCCAGGCAGACCTAAAAAACGGAGCAAGCACTACCCACAAAGTCTCAGATGGTGACCTACAGGAAGAGCAGTGAAGAGAGAAGAGTCACACTTGACATTGCACCCCACGTAGCCAACTGGGCTGCGCCTGGGGCCTTGTTCTCCAAATTTCTGCTATTTGCTCTGGCCAGTCACGTAGAAGGACAAGGGAGAGAGCCTGGGCCACCGAACTGCATCTGCTGTGTGAATGGAGGAGAGGGCCATGGCAGCCACTCCCCAGTCCACATTTTAGGAATAGTGACCACACCCCCCTGCAAATATGGGCCAGTTGCTGTCCTTCAGTCTGACCAGTCAGATGAGCATTGCCTCTCCTTGGGACAGAATGACAGGGGAGGTGCACAGGGAGGGAGTCCTGAGAGAGCACCTCGTCTTACCTAGGAAGTCTCCAGGACCCAGCACTACACTGAACAGCCTGTGCGAGGGATGGGGACTTGCTGAGTTATTGAGAAACCAGTCCTGCCAACACGAGCTGGGTGATGGTCTGCGTCTGCCCCTGCTTCAGGGTCCAGACTTGGAACCTCTCTGGACAGAGTGGAGACTGACATCCGAGGGACCCCTGTCCCTGCCTCCACGCAAGTACACAAGCAGCAATCCTCAGTAAATGCTGACGACCCACTGGGCTTGGAGGATTCAAGGGCAATGTCTATGAAGGTTCTCACCCAAAGATTCTGGAAGATTCTCTGGAATATCATCACAGAATAAAGAGATGTTGCCTGGTGGCATGTGAGCTGAGGGGAAGAAAAGCCTGAGAAGCAGAATCAATCAGCACAAAATCCCTGGGAAGAGCAAGCACACAGGCTGTGAGGACAGTGAGTGCGACCTCTCTGGTTAGGGAGAGAAGACAAGAAGGGAAGGGAGAAGGGGGCCAGTAAGAACTGCATAGGGTCCCTGTAGCAAAGGGGACTTTTAAGAGGTGTCTTTACCAGAGGAACTGAAATGCCATACTCATGTGTGCCCTGACAGGGGCCAGGCCTCTGGCCAGCCTGCCCCAATCCTCTCCCTAAAGCAGGCCTTCTTGCCCTGCCCATAGTGTTGAGAATGTGGGTAAGTGTGGTTGGCTCACTGCTCCATTCTGGCATGGAGTTTGGGGCCAGGCTGCTTCTGATTTCTCTCCCTGACTCTGATGCCAACTCTTATCCTGCCTAGAGTTCAGGTGCTGAACTCTGAAGTGGGGGCAATTTTGTTTTTGTGACACTGAACCAGTGGTCAGGGGGCCCGGACTCCGCCTCTGAGGTCAGAACAGGACCAGCAGGTAGATTTGTTCTTGTACAGGGAATATTCCTCTGCAGGTAGATGAGGGAAGGTGTTCCTGCAGTCTGGACAGCCACCGCTGCCAGGGACGTCACAGGCCAAGGTCAGGTGCCGTGATTCTGCAATTCCACCTTCGAAGTGGCTCTGAGTAGGATCCTAGACAACTCTTTTGGCTTCTCTTTCCTCTCCCAAATGTTTTAGGGGATCGAAATGCCTGTTCCACTCATTTCCTAAAGAGCAAGCTGACTTCTACTTCTATAGAGTAAAATTGTTAAGACATTCTTGATCATTTAAATTTCCCATATGGAACCTTGCAATTTTGGATCTCAACTCCGTGTTCCTTTCTTTCCCCTCCAAAAAGAAATCTCTCTTCTGAGGAGTTCTTAACTAGGACTTGAGGGTCCTTAAGCAAGTGTATTTGTAATTGCCTGTCGTCACATGGGGACTAAAGTCCTATGGATCAGACACTTTGAATAGTGGTGGTTTTGTCCTTCCAAATGCTTTCCGCAGCATTCTGTCCTTTGAGTGTCACACACCCTGTGTGAGGGAACTTGGGAGGTG